ATAATTTTTACTTTGTGTTTATATTATTCCATTTTAACTACTGGATAGCTCCATTTGTATAGAAATTGTATAGAAGAAAACAGATCTCTCTGTAGTGAGTGCGTGTGTGTGTGTATGTAACATAGCCTTCATACCAAGTAGTTTCCCCTCCCTCTCAACCAGTTATGCAAGCCCTTACCCACAGTTTAGGCTGTTTCAGATTCTGATCTCATAACCACGATGATTTTAGAACAACTTCAGCTCTGTTGCAGTTGAGAACTACAATTTGGTGGGAGGCTGGCAATACTGGGGTTTTTTTTTATTAAGGCCAGATTCAGCATGATGTGGAGCAATTTCCAATCTCATAGGGGATAACAGGCACTGACAATACTCAGTATCTCATTGGAGTGGGACATTAAATCATGTGTCGAGTACCAATCACAAAACCTGAAATGCTAGTATAAACTCATCTTGATGGATAAGAACCACTACTAGAAGATGTAAGATTCACACCGTGTCCAGGATGGAACAGTTCTTCTTCACTTCACAGTTTTATACCTGAATTAAACCTATCCATGAGACACCACTTTAATATAAGCAGTACCCTCAGGGTACCGTACACATTTATATTTCACTAGAATGATGATTAAATGTGCAAGGAATTATTTGAGTGTTGTGAGCATCATTCTCCACACTTTAACATTTATTTTATTGAATCTTTCATTAAACACAAAATAAAACAGAATTAAGAGAAGCAATAATACTGTAGTCTCTGCAAAGAGAAGCAATAATGCAGTGGTTATTAAAAGCAAACACAATCATTACAGAACAAATTTTGCTTACCAGACATACAAGCCTTCCAGCTAATACAATAAACATCTCAAAGGGGAGTTACTGCAGCAGATACAGTAATAATCCAGGGAGAAACCATTAGCTTTGTAAGGACCCATCTACAAATGCAAATTGTCTGTGTCAGGAGATTGTGTTATAATAACAGAGGTGTCCCAATGGTGTTAAGACAAGGTTTAGTCTTCCCTGCTTTGATTAAACTAAAGTGTGGTCTTGTCTAAACTTAGATAGAAATGATATCTGTTAGGATTGTGAAAAAATTGAAAGCCCTACCCAGCAGAGTAACTAGCATAGGGTGACAGGGGCAGCGGCTCGAGCTGCCAGCTCAGGGGCACGGAGAGAACAGCAGCTGCTGGCTGGAAGTCACTGCTGCCTCTGTACATCATAGCTGCCCCCGGCATCTGGCTAACACGTTGTGCTTTTGCTCAGACCTGACATAGCTATGTTGGCAAAAGATGAAACATTTTTTACACTGGGGAAAAAATGTCCTTTTCCAGTGTAACTTGCTGCACTTGAGAAACTAGTATAAGCTGTAGTGAACAAACCTCTTTTGCTAGCATCAGTTACATCTCCCCTAACAGGGTTTGCAAGCAGAGCTGTGTCAAGTAGGGCCATACTGACAAATCCTCTCTAGGTCTATGTTATAATCATGTTGCCAAACTCAGGGACCAGATCTTGGGCTGCACTGAAAGAGCTTGCTGCCTGACTTGGGAGATCTGTGAATTATATACACAAACAAACAAACCACATAGTAGAAATGATGCTTACTTCAAATGTTTTCTTGAGATAAGATGGGACTTTTTTATTAAATTGTACAACCAGCAGCACAGTCTTTTTATAACTATGTTGAGAGACTGTTCACGTGAACTGAATTGTATTGCTCATGTCAAAAGACCCCAAAATGTACTTTGTGTTTATTGAAAAGATTATAAAAGGGCCAAGCACTAAGCAGGTAGACTGTCAGATCTTTGCTGGTTCAAGGTTCTGTTCCTGACCTCACACATTCAAGTCATGGCTTAATTTGAGTGCCCAATTTGAGATACCTAGAGCTTGACTTGTAGTGATGCTGAGCACCCTCAACTTGAAAGGAGAACTGCAGGGCTCAGACCTCAGAGTCACTGCTGCATTACTTCAGTTATATAGGAATGACAGAAAATTGTATGCGCTAGATGTCACAAGTTGAGGCCTCCAAAATTAATGCACGCTTCTGTAAATGTAGCCCTGAACTACTTGGGTAAGGTCACACTGCAAAACAATGTACATAATACCCAGTTTTGTATATCTCATTAAGGTACTATAATGAAGTGTTTTTATAAATATAAAATTAAATTTAAAGAATTGCTTTTATACCCGGTGGTAATCCTTAATTTCTCTGCTTCTGATGGTTGGTTGTGAGTCAGGCAAAAACAGACTTAACTAGTTGACTTTGAGTTAACCAGTTTCACCTAACTCACTTACGCAGATATTTGAAACACCAGTCAACAAATGGGTGCACAGATAAATCCTTTTAATCAACAAAGGGAAGTCTGCTACAAGACTTGGCAATGCTGGTAGTTGGCCAATAGACGTTCTTTGTTTTCCAATTTGAATTTTGTACTAGTTCTGCTTATCTCTTGTGGTTTTCTGATTAGCTTTCCAGCCCAAACTTGTTTGTTTGTTGATAGCTTTGTCAGCTTCCATATTCCTTGAGGTTGCTTGACAAATACTGCCAATTTCTAAAACCAAAGTCAGTTAGCTAACTGGAAAAAATTCCAAATGATTTGCAGAAAAAATGGTATACAGTTTTTTTCTTATTTCAGCAACTGTCTCAGCATATAGTCACTACTTGGTTTTAATTAGTCTGTAGTTAATAGAGAAACCCCTACCAGCTAAATCTAGTTAGAAAACAACAACAAATTTTGCAAATGTGTTTTCTATTTTTTATCACAATGTTTTCTACATGGACATTTTCTGATGAACTCAAGCGTTAATTGAAAAATTTAGAAACTGAAAATCCACTATCCTTATTCTTCCTTTACTTGGGCGCTTAGCATCATGAAGTAGTTGGTCCTAGGTATGCCTAAAAACTGCATCCAACTGGTGGCAACATGATGGGGCTACTTGTGGTGGGGTAGCTCCTATAAAATACCACAATATTGCAACCTCCAGAGTAAGTGAGTATAGGGTGACTCATAACCCTAACCCCCACTACTTTGTAAGCACTTCTTGGTTAGATATAGGCTAAGGGACATCATCTTGACAAAAATGCAACTTCACTGAGGCATTAGGCAATTAGCAGCAGTTCTTATCTGTTTCTCTCTGTGGCAGAAGCTGTAAACATCGTGGCACTGAATGTCTGGACTGGGTCTGGCCTTTGGATTCTGTCTCAATGGTCTAAAGGGGGGATGGTAAGACTTGAGCAGCCTCCACTCCTCCCCTACTCTTGCTTAGGCATACGCATCAAAGGTCTTGGTATGATGGTTGTAGACCTCTTGCACATACACCATGATCTGGAGAATCAATGGTTGCCTATTATTATTTAGTAGTATGGACCCAGTTACCAAACTCAGCCAATAATATGAGTATCAAACTCTTTTCAGAGCCAAATATATCATTTTGCCTTTTAAATGTCATTAGCTCTTGAACCTGTATTAGGCAGTATTTCTGTATAGGTCCCTCATTTTGAAATATTCATTATACTTGTTACCTGATCTTCTCGATGGCATTAAATGTATACTACAGAAGCTGTGATGTAGTCCTATTTCCATGAGTCTGCATCTACCTTCACTTCAACATCTGTCTTCCTTTGAAATAGACCAGAAACATGTACGGCTTCTATTTCCATTAGACAACTAGAGAAGTGACTACAGGAGAGACAACAAAGGGGCTGTCAGATGTGTGGACAGAAGTGGTGGCAAACAAGAAAGGAGATCTTAAAAAAAACACAGAAAAGTTCATTGGCTTAAGTTCAAAGTCCTTCCCTTCTCTTTACTAAGCTCCTGTACCAGAACTCCTTGACTCCACGGAATTTATGATGTGGGTCGAGGATTTGTGTATCCCTTGATTTTATATTTTCCCCTTTCTTGAGTGTGTGTGTCTGGGGTGTTGAGAATGCCCTAGTTGCTGGTGGGCGTTTTAGTCATGGTGACATTGCCTCTGGCCTGTGCACTTGCCCCCTTTCCCCACCCTCGTAGAGCAGCCCTGACTCCCCACCTTCCACTGCGGGATTCCCAAAGGGCTTTTCTTTTTCATAGAGGATTCAAAAGAAACCAACTGAAACGCGTCTTCATCTGGGAAACACTGGCAGTGCTGCGTGACTCGGTGGCCCCCTCCATGTCACGGGCCTCCCCCTTTGGCAGGAAGGGGCAGGGAGGTCTGTGTGGGATGAGGGCAGCAGCAGAGCCACATGGGCGAAGCCTCCCCTCTCCCCCCACAAAAAGACCCTTTGGGGAGGGCCCATGCTTAGCAAGAGGTGATGTGCCCCCGAGCCTCGGGCCACCAACTCTGCATGGATCTATTCCGTGAGGTTTCATTACATGCTGTAAGGACATGAATGACTTGACATCAGGAAGGCAAACACACATTTCCTATCACGTTTTAAAAACCCGCTGGACTACTAGATACATGGGATTCAATATTTAATGGATGCCCTCACTTTCAGCAGCACCCTGCAGATTTAGATCTAATTCCTAGAGACTCCAGGGCTGTCCTGGGGGGTTGGCAACTCGGCCCCAGCCCGGCCCCGGGCCTGCAGCCCAGCACCGACTCCCCCGCTGGGCCCACCGCAGCCTCCCCCCACGGGCGGGGCGGGGCGGGGCGGCCCGCCTGGACTACGACTCCCAGCGGCCTTTGCGCCACCCCCTGACGCCGGCGCGGCGCTCACGCGGTGGCCGCCGGGACTTGTA